AAAGAATGAAACAAAGTTTAACAAGATCCAAATACTGTACTTGATAAGAATAGAACCAATTCTCAGAAATCTGATTTAAATCCTAGGTTGATTTAGCTAGGTAATATTTTAGGCAGTTTTACAATTTTATGCAGCTTCCTGAGTTTTTGTTATTTCATGGTTTTTCAAGTAAGAAAGTCACTACAGTGTGGGAGATGCCTCAGGAATTGGTATTCAATCTGTTCTTTATCATCTTTATAGTGTAAAATGTTATAATAGCTGATGCTCAAATTAACAGAAGTTCTACAGGCTTAAAGTATTCTGTAAATCAAGAAATATAACTANCGATACTCAAATTAACAGAAGTTCTACAGGCTTAAAGAATTGCATTCTGTAAATCAAGAAATGTTAACTAAAGCTGAAGAGTAAAAAACTAAACAACTGCAAATAGAGAACCTGAAAACTGAGTGGACAGGGATAATTTAGAGAGTAACAAAGGTCTGGGAAATCAGAGAGCTAGGAATTGGAGTGATAACTGTTTTATACTGAAAACGAGGGAAAGCTGGGAACACAACTTAGCTAATGAATATGAACTGAATATGTATTTCTGGGTTTGTTCCTCAAGGTTCATAAACAAAAACATTTACATCAAAAAGTGTTTCTTTTTCATTTTAATTAAAACAAAATGGTTCTAACAAGATGAAATTTGGTTGCTAATTTCTATCACACAAAAGGACAGATCTCCAAACCATTTTGTTAATTGGAGAAATGATATTCTGACTGTTGGCCTCACATATCATTCTGAACTGTTTAACAACTAGATATAACAAATGAGCAAACAATTTTCAGCATTTTCTTTTAAATTTTTTTTGGCTGCATTTTGTAGATTTCATAATCTGGGACCTTATCACTTAAATGAAGTAAGCCTGCTGAAACCATTCGAGAACCTGTAAACTTTCCAGTGTAGCTTTCTCGTCGTTTGTTAACCCCTGGAGCAGTGTTTGGTCTTGCAAAGTGTTTTAACAGATCATGGCTATCATCTGGGCTCTTTTCTAAAAGTCTTGCTCTTGATTTCACTTTTTCAAGATGCTGAAATGAGGTCACAGGTAAATCCTCAAATCTCTCCGAACAATCCTAAATATTAAAATAAAAGATCGAGTTGGTGAATTAGGCTTCTTAAAAGTATAATTTAAATTTATAAGGACCAAAGTTTGTAATATCAACAGTTAAAGACCAAAAATGAGAGCATCAAATGTTTTATAGGTAAATTCAGACCCTATACCCAATGCCTCCCATTAGAAACTACTATAGAAAACATGCTTGAAAAAACAACTACTGTTTCAAAGGACCTGTTAGTTCAAAAGAGATTGAAGATACAAAGCTTGAAACCAGATAAATTTAGGGAAGTTGTCCTCAGGGGTCAGACTCCTACACAAAGCTGAACAGCCCGTTCTAAAATCCTCCTCCTCCAAAATACGTCTTCCCCAACCCCAAGTATAAATTATGAACTCTTATATTTTAGTTTTTACATTCTCTAAACTTTCATTTCTTAAAAGTTAATAAACATCTTCAATACACACAAAAAGAGCTCAGCATCTAAGAATATGGTTATAATGTTTATATTAAAATAATAAAAAATTTTGTGTATATTTTGAGAGTAAACAAATAAAACATTCAAGAAAATAACTAAAAGATATACACCAAAATAATTTTCAAAAATGGTGGCTGTGTTAGGGTGGTGGGATTATGGGCTTTTTGTTTTCCTTTTCTCTTTGAATTTTTTATAATATGACTATATTTTAGAATAATTTACAAATACCCATAAGAGGATATGGAGCTATTAGTCATTCTCAAATTAATATAAAATAGTTTCCTCTGCAGTTTGAGCAGCTTGTCTCAACACTTCAGAGAGATGGTCACACCAAAGGAATGGGCTGCTTTCATTTGGAGAGAAAGTGAAAAAGTGGATTATTAGAATTGGAGTTTTGGGGGAGGTTTGGTAGGACTAAGAAGAATTAGACAGCAATAAAGAGATTTACAAAATAGGTGGTATTAAGAGTCTAAAGACAAATTCTACCTACTTTACATTTTTGCCTGGGTTTGCAGAGGGCAAAGAAACATTCTCCCTCTTCCCTTTCATGTACATGGAACAATTAGGTAGGCCACATTATTAAGGGAATTTCTGCTACACTGGTGAGTTACATATATTAACTTGTGCTTCACAGTAGATGTAAGTGATTGTTAGAGTGCCAGTGAAAGTGCATGGAGACCCACTCCACTGGTTATTTTTCTGGATGCTCCTACAGCTCAGTTTCTTAGTCTTGTTTTGATTCCTTTAGGAGATTCTTGGATTTTAGAGAATCAGATGAGCCAGTCATTCTCATGATCTGAAAAATTTCCTCTTACCATAAAACTCTCTGTTGCCAATGTCACTAGAGAGAAAAGTTTAGGTACCGATGGTTTAAAAGAGGGAAATAAAAATAACTCTATCTCCCTTGACCACTCTTAGAACAAGGATTCTGAGACCCTATGTAATCTCGTAATATATAACATAAATACAATTTCTTGTTTTGTTTGAAAGTGATATTAAGTGATTCCATTTGACTAAAGAAACTTCAAAAAGTCTCTTTTCCAAAGGCTGTTACATCTTCTTCCTGTACCCTGTGCACACACACTCTCACTCATTTGATACTAAATTACTGAACTTAGATAGAAAAGAGAAATCCNGCTGTTACATCTTCTTCCTGTACCCTGTGCACACACACTCACTCATTTGATACTAAATTACTGAACTTAGATAGAAAAGAGAAATCCATGGTTGAGAGTATAAGCTATATGAATTTTTACCCTGCTACTAATTTGCTTTACTAAAACTAAATATTTGCTTTACTATGGAAAATCAATTTACTATGAAAATGAACTATTCTGAAGTTATATCTGTTATCTCATTCAAAGATAGAATCAAATTACCATTTGATAGAATTAATTATCATTTTAGAATGTATGAGTTTCTCAGTTGTAGGTCATGCCTGTTTATATGTACAAACATATAAGAGCAGTGGTCAAGAAAATTAAAATATGTCCCTTCCATTCCTAGAATAGTTTGTATAAAGTCTAGTAGCAGATTTGCCTTCCCGTTTTATGTAATATTAAAAATAGATTTGAATTTTCAAGTTTGTCAGCACATAATATAGCAGTGGGGGCGTGGTAAAAGAAGTTAAATTAAAATTTTGCAGTGCATAATCCTATTGTACATTTTGCATACCCTAATGCTTAGCAGAGTAGCTGGCACATACTGAAACAGGTGTTTAGTGACCTGAAAAAAAAAAATTTATACTTATATCTTCATGAAAAGAAAATCCCAGCTGTTCCCACAGTCTACAGCCACTGCCAATGGTTGTACTGGTTGTGCCTGTATAGCAGCCCCTGGCTCAGGGTGAGCTGGGGCTGAAATCCAGCCAGTTTCCCATAGACCTGGCTGTGTGCTCTGGCTCCAGGCTAGGTCAGCCTGCAGAATCTTCCCAGAGGGAAGGGTGCTTTTTTCTGATTCATACTCCAGAGGGGATGCCCTTTATTTATTTTATACAAAGGTACTCAGTGTGTTAACAGTCCCCTGATTTTGTGACTGCATTTTGAATCAGGTGAGGTGATATTTGAATGTCAGAAGAATTTTAATTTATACATCTTGGGGCAATGAAGGTTACACACATACTTGCATGCAGATATATATCCTAAAGTAGATTATTTACAGAACTTAGCAAAATACGGAGGTAAAAGACAGCAAAAAATGATTACGTGTACAGTTCTTCGGGCAGTCCAATGAAGCAAAGTCCTCGGAACAGATTTCCTTAGTGCTGCGGCGGGCGGTGTGGTTGGTAGCACCTTAACTATCCTAGGCGACTTTTTTTGTTTGTTGGTGTGCTCTTTTTCTTTTCGGACTCTGGACTTCGGATTTTCCCTCTTTAATACCTCTGGGAAGAGGGATGGCTTAGAGTTTTTCCCAGCTTCCACAACTTTGTATTTAAATGATTGCGATTCATGGACCTTGGCACATTTTTCATTGAAAATTTCACTTGGTTTTATATAAAGAGCTTGTATTTCCTTTTCGTAATGTGCAAACGTTACTGACTGTTGCTTTTTGTTGTTGTTGTTACGTCCTTTCAGTCTCTGACAAAACTGGTCTAATTTCGAGCTCTCCGCGGCCTCCGCGCTGAAGTGAGCGCGCGCGCTGCTCTGCCTGGGAGGGGGCAAGGCCCTGGCCGGCTCGCCGGCCTCCGACGTCCTGCAGGAAGGGCTTCCAGGCCAGGGCGGCAACCCCGCTTCGGGTTTGTCCTGTGCCATCAGTTTATAGATATTATGCTCCTTTTTTTCAAGCGACTTCATTTTCAGCGTGCTTTCAAAGCAAACATTTGCTTGAGGGACTTTTGATTTACCACTCCAACTATGTATGGTTTGAATCTCTGTCTTAAAATCAAAATTTTCTGCTTGAGGAAGCTTCATGAAACCATGTTGTTCTCTTTGTTTCTTAAGCACTATAGCTGTACGTCCATCTGATGACTTCTTTAATGGAACTGCTTGGGTGTTTCTGTTGGAAGAAGGTTGTACTTTAATTAAATTCAGTGTTTCCTGTTCTGTAATTATTGATGTATTTTCTTTAATATTCTGTAAGGGAAAATACTCCTTTTCTTTCTTTCCAGTTAATTCTGTTTCTACAACTCTATCCTCAGGAGCCTTTTGTACAGTGGCTTGATGAACAATATTTGAATATTTATTTTGCTTTTCTGAATGTTCCTCCATAAACTGATTTTGATCTCTGAAAGATAAATCTGGCTTTATACATTTTAACGATGTGGAACTAGACTTAATCAAATTTATATGGCTGCTGATTCCCTCCACTTGCCTTTCAATCATTACTCCTGATTTTGAAAGTTTTTCAATAAAAAGTATCTGGAGGTATTTGCTTAAATCAGCTTTTAGATTTAATAGTTCATCATTTTGTGATAAAGCTATAAGACAGTTTTGTAGAGATTTATTTAAAGGATATTTCATGTTTATTTCAAGCCTTCTACCAAAACTCCCCTTTGAAATATCTTGTCCTAACTCGTGAAAAGATACCGAAGCACTTCTAGTCCTTAAAAAAGATATGTTTGAGTGGGTAGATTCAGTCTCTTTAAATAAACTGCTTTCTGAAAGGTTTTTTAGGAAATAGTTTTGAAGAACTTCATTTAAAAAAGATCTCAGCCTTATTTCCAAATGTTTATCTATGAAATGATGATTAAAATTATTTACAAAAGATACGGTTTCTTTTACAATTTCTGAATATTTCTCCAGAAAAACATTTTGCCCTTTTGGTTCTGCTTTCTCATTCATCAAATACAGGTTTTGACAGATTTTTGGTAAGTCCTCTTTGGTGATATGTCCTGATTCTGAAAGTCTTTGTACAAGGTAATGCTGGATATGTTTACTTAATTCAGATTTAAAATTTTTTATTTCTGACTCTGAGAGTGCTTCTAGAAATACCCGCAGCTTTGGATTCAAACAAGGTTTTCTGTTTAATTTGTCTGCTTTATCAAAATTATCTTTGATTTCTTCAAGGTCTTCTGCATTATTTAGAAAAGGATGTTGAATTAGTCTTTCTAATTCTTTTTCTGGTTGTCTTCTCTTTTCAGACTGATTATATTTTAAAAAAACATTAAGTATGTTTTTGAAAAAGGATTTTAACATTATTACATCTGGCTCATTAAGTTTACCCAATAACAAGTTACTTAAATTTTCTAAGGTAGAACTTAGATCATTTTCTTCTCCATCAAGCTTCTGACCACTACTTGGCAAATCTGTTTTTTTATCTGGTGTTGACTGATATTTTGAATCTTGTGGGGATGTATTTTGGCTTTTATCTATAAATTCGACTCTATTAAAAAAAGAAGTGGATTCTTTGGGAATGATGGCTATATTCTGCTTTGAAAGAGAGTATGTTTTGCTTTTGATTTCTGAGTAATCCTCTGTGGAGTCCTTTGGCTTTTCTTCAGCAAAGGCTGTCTCTGTATCCAGCAAAGAACTCTTCTGGTATTCTTGACCTAATTCTATCACTTTGATGATCCCAGATTCTAAAAGATTATCTACAGGAAGTGTTTGTATTATCTGGCTTATAGCAGACTTGGCCTCTGGCAATTCTATTTCATTATAGTTTTCTTCATAGTGAACTAGAATATTTGAAGAAAAATTCTCCCAAGCTGTGAGTAATTGATTCTGCCAGTTCATCTCTGACTCACTCGATCCTTCCACACCCATCTCCAGCTTGGAGAAGATTGGGGCTGTGAATATTTGCTTTAAAACATAATCATGTGCGATGTCACTGAAACCTGACTCAGAGCTAGACAGTTTACTTTCTAAATGTTTCTTTTTGAAACTACTCTTTTTTTTTATTGGAAAAGTTATCTCACCAGCCTCTAAGCATTTTTCAGAGACAAGCGCTCTTTCTCTCTCTGGAGAATTTCCTGGCCCATCTTCTGAAAGTGAAACTCCAGGAATATCTTTAATTATTGGATTTACAAGCGACTTTGAATTCAAAATGTCTTCTTTTGAAAGCCAGCTATTTAAATCTTGGATTTTTTCAAGTATTTTGTCTTCCAAACTACTTGATGGTTTGTCATGAACACTCAGAAGTGGAGAATTATGACTTTCCCCTCTTGCTTCGGTGTCCATAGGAATTCCTGGTTTAGAAAATAATTTCTCTAAGTGGTCTTGAAGATTGTTACTTAAAACTGACTTGAGCACCACTGATTGTTTTAAGTGTTCTTCGTGGGGAGTAAGACTTAATGATTTTGAGAGTTGACATATATTTACATTTTCAGTCGGTGATGACTCTCTTTCAAAGTTTGGTAAAGATACACTTGCTAGTCTTTCCTTTAACTGATTCGTAATATCTAAACTCTCTGTTGTGGTGATGCTAGGATCACAGGCTAGGTTACCCTTGGCGCCCACAGCCTCGGCGCCCACAGCGCTGGTACCGAGACCACTGGGCCAGTTTTCATCAGTAGGTCTTGGAGCTTTCGAATGTGTCAGGTAAGGAGGATCTTGGTCTTCATGCTCTATAACCTCTGCATTTAAACTGTTTCTATATTTGGGCCGATCCTGGTTGTTCCTTTTGCTGACTGACATTTTGTTGTTTATATCCCTTAGGAAAGAATCAAAACTGTTCTTGGTGTTGAAATTCTGTAAAATTTAAAAAAAAGTAAGGAATTCTGTAACATTTATTTTGAATTTATAGTACACTTTCTAGCTAAGTCTGTGAGCAACCTGTCAATTTATCTACTCATCCTCCCACCTTCTACAATGAGAAAACTAACTTTAGTTATTTTTAAAATATTTGAAATTTGAATGCAAGTTTTTCAAATTCCTAACTCTGATACTATTTTGTGTCCAAGAGCATTTTGCCACCTGGAATATTTGTAAATATTTAAAAGGCACTCACAAATAGTTCTTTTATGGATTCAATTTCCGGTGTTAGCTGCATTTGCTTAAACAATGGTTAACATCAGGATCTAAGTCCTATCCATATAAATATTTACCATTTTAGTACCAATTTAGGAAATTAAAAAAAAAAAAAAAAAAAAGCAAAGTAGTGTATGTCCCAGTGAAAGGATCAAAAATATTCTTTAAAGGCTGACTTGGCAGCATATATCATCTGCCTCTAAGTCTAAGAATTTCAACAATGATGAGTTCCACTTAACCCTTAGCACATCAGAGTAAAATCTGGCTTTTTGATGAATACTACATATGCCTCAGAAATGGTTCAGAGACAGCAGTACAGAAAATTCTTAATTACAGTGAAATTTCAGTGAGACCCTATAGGCAGTTTTGTAGCTCTGGATCGGACTATTCTGTCACTGAAACAGCCTTCAAAATGAAGCCTCTCATTCAAACTCTTTGTTCACACCACTTCTACACTATCCAATTAAAAAAGCAAAATGTGAAATAATCAGCCTAGAATTTGTTCTAGTTTACTTCACCTTACTAGTTCAAGTTTCATTTTAATGGATACAATTCATTATAACTGGTTTTCAAATGCTAGTTGATACCATGTGACAGCACAAGAATCCCCTTGGGTTTTTGAGAAGTACAGATTCCTAGGCTCCGTCTCTAGACTGAGATTCATTAGGTCAGAGGTGGGACCTGGGAATATGTATCTTTAAAAGATAGCTGGGTGTTTCTAATGAGTATTTCGGTTTTGGAGCCATTGAATTACATAATGTATTATGGAAGCCTAGTATTTAAGAATAATCGGTATTGGGATAGAATAACTCAGCACTCACCTGATATTTTGGTTTGAATTCTTTGTAGTCTGGTTTCAAAGCTGGTACCATGTGTTCTTTTTGTGAAAAAGCCACCTTATAAAAAGAGAAGTTTTAATTTTAGACTGCTTGTAATGAAAGAATATTTCCCAAGTTTCTCACAACTACTATACTTTTTTCCAATTATCAAAATAAATCTGTATATACAGAGAATCAGACATATATAATCTTAGCTTCCTTGATACTGTAATTATTCTATTGAATTTGTAAAATCAAAATGATGCACAGCAACTTCAAGGATAAACAAAAGTAGAAAACAGAACAAATTGTAATCTAATTTTAAAAGGTTGTGAAATACTTTCAATAACAAGTGGTATGTGATAATACTGAAATCACATTCTTAGTGATTCTCAGGACACAGAAAATGAAACCTTTTTAAAAATCTTTTTCATCATTCATAGAAGGAAACTGATAGACAATGTCCATTGGTTTACATACCAAGAAATATTTTAAATGTATTTCTTAAAGCCTTACAGATAACCATTAGAAAAATAAAAAGTAATGTCTAATAACCCTGAGAAAAATTATAGAGGGAAGATTTGAAATATTATAAATGCTTTAAAATCACTCATCTTTCCAAGTGTCATATCAACACACTTCACCTGAAGTTGATAAATTGAAAAATCAAATAGAATTTCACCTACATAACTTACAACTATAGTATAAACTTACTGAAAGAGCTATAAAGCAAACTGCTAAAAGTAGTCACCTTGGCGAAGCGAAACTGGTAGTGCGGTTACGGGTGGGGAAGGGTAACTTTCACTGCATTTTATACCGTTCTGTGCAGACTGACTTCTGCAGGGCTGTGCAGATATAGTTTTAATTTTTTAAGAGGCTTATAAATGTAAAAAATAATAAAAGGAATTCTTAATAGGGCATTGATTAAATCACTGTTGTACAGGCTCACAATGAGAGACAGTAAAATTTAGTGGTTTATAACACAGACTCCAGAGCCAGTCTGCCCATGTTTAAAACCCAGATTTACCACTTGATAGCTAGGTGTCCTTAGACAATCGATTAGCCCCTCTATCCATAATTTCCCCACATATAAAATAGATATAGTAATAATATATATCTCATAGGATTGTTGTGAGGATTTAGTGAGTTAATATATTAAGGCACTAATATAGTAGCTTTCAATAACAGTGTTGGCTATTATTAAAATAAAACCATTTTAGCCATTAAAGTAATAAAGTAGATATATAGGCTGTATAACACAATGTGATATTGAGTGAAAAATTAAGATGTAGGACAGTATGGCTAGTTGATCATGATAAGCAATCTGGAAAAATGTTGCTGGCATACAGGAAAAGTCTTTTTGCAAAACTGACTCAAGTGGAATAAGAAAATTTGAATAGACAATATTTTTTAAAATTTGTAAATAATTAAAATACATGACTATGCATTTGTCAAAATCCATTGAACTGTATTTCACAAAGAGTAAACATTAATGTATGTAAACTCAAACCAAAACAATAAAAAACAGGATGTTGGGAATCAAGAAATAATGCAGACAGTGACAAATGAACCTAACTGTATTACAAATGTAAGATATAACCACACTGAAAGCAGTAGGAGAAGAAAGGAAATGACCTTGGTAACTGGGTGTTTTGACTGGAAATTTTAAGGCTAAAGATAAAAGGAACAATGTACATAAAAAGTGTACTCTAGTAGGTAAATTTGTTCTTTGTGGGTATAGTACAAGTTAGTAATTCTGAAACTGCTTTGCATATATATTGGGGTGAATGATAAGATCCATATATATCTGGATCTTATCACTCACTATCCATAAATAAATAAATGGATAGTGAATGATAAGATGCAGATTTCTCACTGTTGGAGAGACAAGTTACATACAGACAAACAAGAAGGGAAAGTTAGAATAAACTCTGTGATACAGGAACAGAATCAGAAACAGCAATATAAACTCACATTTAGCTAAATATATAAAGAGGTGGTTATATACAGAAATGACAAAATGGGGGTATATGGGAGTATTAGTAGAATCATGCATACTTGTCCTTTTGCAATTGGCTTATTTCACTTAGCACAATGTTCTTGAAGTTTATCCATATTGTAACATGTGACAGGATTTCTTTCTTTTTAAAGGCTGCATAGTATTCCACTGTCTGTATATACCACATTTTCTTTATCCATTCACCTGTTAATAGACATTTGGGTTGCTTTTACCTCTTGGCTATTGTGAGTAATGCTGCAATAAACACTGGTGTGCAAATATCTCTTTGGGATCCTGCTTTGAATTATTTTGGATGTATACCCAGAGATGGGATTGCTGGATCATATGGTAACTCTATTTTTAATTCTTAAGAGAGCTCCATGCTGCTTTCATAGCAGCTGCACAATATTACATTCCCAACAATGCACAAGAGTTCAAGTTTCTCCACATTCTTGCAAACATCTGTCTTTTTTTGGGGGGGGGGTAAAAGATACTCTGACCCGTATACAGTGATATCTCATTGTGGTTTTGATTTGCATTTCTCTGATAATTAGTGATGGTAAGCATCTTTTTATATACTTGTTGGCTATTTGTACATCTTCTTTGGAGAATTATCTATTCAAGTCCTCAGTCCACTTTTAAAATTGTATTTGTTTTTATGTTGTTGAGTTATAGAAGTTTATTATACATTCTGGATATTAACTTTTTATCAGATATATGATTTGCAAATATTTTCCCCCCACAGTGTAGGTTGCCTTTTCACTCTGTTGACTGTTTCCTTTGATGTTCAAAAGTTTTTAAGTTTGATGTAATCTCACTTGCTATTTTTACAATTGGTTTTAAATGCTCTACAATGTAGGCCTCTCAAGCCACACCCAGATAAGGGCTTTGCTAATTTTCTCATGACAAGAGATAAGATAGTAATGCCAAAATTATGCTCCACTTGCCTTTAGAGTGGAAATACCATATAGTATTGACTTCATACAGAAAATCCTATCATTTAAACAATGTATTTTACACATTTAGAAATTCTACTCATTCTCTTATTTAATTTTATTTTTAAAATATTCCTTATTTATCTTATTTTTTAAAATATATATATCGTTATTGTTGAAAGTATTACAGATGTCCCTCTTTCCCCCCCATTGACCCCCTCCTTATTTTTTCTATGAATTTGTCATTAATTAATTAACAAGCATTAGGAGCACCTACTATAAACCAGGTATTCTTCAAAATTGCTCCCTTCTCCCTTCATTCCTTGCCTCAATGATGGGGTAACATTTAAATGTAATCAGCATTAAACATAATATATCTATTTAACTTTAAAGACAACACATTTTATGATGTTTGCTTTAGAAATAAAATACTTCATAAATAAAGAAAGAAATGTATTTGCTCATATAACTAGGAGATCTGGTTCCAGGGACTCAATGTGACCAAGTCACTATCTCTCCAGCTCTTTGTTCCTCTCTCTGTGTTGTCTTTCTTAGATATTCTCTCTCTTGGTAGAAAAGTGAGCACTGTTAGCTCTTGAAATAAAAAACTAAAGATTTCTTAATATTCTTACACCAAATTATATGATCATCCTTGCAACCACAGAGACAGTGTTAGGTTTGCCAGCTACAAGTATTGGAGCTGGGGCAGGGGTGATATCTTCAAGAGGGGATACTGACAGACAAAAATGTTAACTATATGGACAATTAATAAATAGTGTTGAGACAAATGTCTATCCATTTCAGCAAAAGTATCAGTATATTCTTAACCTTATACAAAAAATAAATATGCATTAAACGGATAAACATAAATTTAAAAGTATATACAAGAAAAGTAGGAAAACGCTGATATAATCTTGGGGAGGGAAACCCTTCTAAACAAGATATAAACTAACATACGAAGGAAAAGGTGCCAGATTTTACAACACAAACATTGAAAATTTCTATAAGGCCCCCAAAGATGTTAAAAAACATAGATAAAAAACATCATAGACAACAAAGTAGTTATTCAAAATATATAAAGCCCTCTCACACATAAATGAACACAACTCAATTTGTAAATATGGGAAGAGATTATAAACAGTCAAATAACAAACACAAATGGATAATTAGCACATGAAAATTGTTCACTCATTAATAATCAGGAAATGCACATGAAAATATCAATGAAATATCATTTTATGCATCAAATTAACAAAAACTAAAATAACCAGGTTCTGGGATACTGGGTACTTTCCTACATTTTGCGTGTAAATACAAATTAGCAAATCTGGTTTAAAGGGTAATCTGGCAGTTTCTATGAGAATGAAATATGTGCATATACTTTGACCCAACAATTCTACTTCTCATATTTATTCTATAATATACTTGTAAAGGTGAAAACAGATAATGCTTACCATTTAGCAATTGACTATTATGTTCCCAGCCCTTTAAAATTCTTTGAAATAGATGGTAGTATACTCATTTTGCAGATGAGAAAACTGAAACTCAGATGGAAAATGCCCAAAGTTATATGACCATGGAAGTGAAAGAATCTGGAGTTGAATCTAGATATTTCTGCCCGTAAAATCCAAGCTAGTTTCTCTTACCATCACCAAACACTGCTTTTCATTGGTGTGTAAAGTTAAATTCCTCATCCCTCACCACCTTTCTTGCATCCTGACCTTTGGGAAAATCTTTTAGCATTCAGTCATTGTTAGGGTTTAGATGGAAACTATTGAAGCCACATCTGGAAAGTCTTAATTTATGAAAGGGCTCTAAAAATGTGAAGAAACTACTGAAAGACTGTCACCTTAATCAGCCAAAAGTTGAAAGAGATGTTAGTCCTTTCCAATTCAGATTAGCACTCCAGAAGTTTGTCTCAAAATACTGCATTACTTTAACACACTACCTTGGTTCATTAAAAACAAAACAAACAAACAAAAAGCCCCTCTTCTTCTAATTTCTAACAGCTTCAAAGTTTATTTTATCATAGAATTCTGAAGGTTTTGTGACTTGTTTGTGAAGCAATTAGCTTAGACTTTTCGGAATTTGTTCAAGAATTCTGGTATGTCTTCAGTTTACAAACTGTTGCCATAGGAGATGGA